TATAACGACGCGCCCTATCTTGTTGAATCATAGCTTCGGCTTCTTCCTCGAACTGCGTTAGACCGGTAGGTGGAGCAGACGGTGTAGGACGCTGGACGTTTGCCAAGGCAGCTACTAAATCCGGCTTACTCACTGCAATAATGTCCATGAGACTGGTCAACGTCGAGAGTTGGGTTTGCATCGAGGTGTTAGTTGTCCGAAGATCCGTTTGTTCCGTCTTTAGCCGCTCAATCTCAGCATTAGCAGCGGTCAACTGCGTTACCAACTGCGGGTCAAAAGAACTCGGAGAGCAAGAATACCGAGCGGACGAAGAAGCTGCTAGACATCCCTGATGGATCCGACACCCATCGGCCATCCTCTTTTCTTCGGTACAACCTATAAAATGAGAATGTTGTACAATCAAAATGTTAAAATTGTAAAAGAAAATAAGTTATAATATCATATAGGAACCAAAAAAATTACCTCCTCGTAAATTTTATCCAAATGTTCGAAACCCAATGTAGACTGGACAGAACTACCACCCAGAGATAATTGTGTCTCTAGCTCTGCCACTCGTGCGTTGTAGTCGTTGAACGTTTGTTCCGCTTGAGCGGTAACAAACGTCCCATCCTTGCGTCGATGAGTTTTCTCCATCACTTTAATCATCGGAGGAAGATCACCGCCATTAGCCTGTTAAACAAAATTAAACATATATAAAAATAAAATATAGCGTAAATATATATATAAAATACATAAATCAAATAATCTAATAAACTAATTTAGTTGAGATAATACCATATCCAGTCGTATTGTGACGTATGATGATTGACCCGCACAATGCTTAGAAGGTCCATCTCCTTCGGCTACCGGCGTAAGACGGGATACAGAACACTTTTGTGAAATAACCACCGAATGGAATTCCTCCCAATATCATACTAAACCCGACCAAACATCGGGATCCATCCCAACTGGCTTCGCATCATCGCCTTTCTCGCGCCAAACTTTCTTCCAATTACCGACGGTCCCGTTGAGACGCAATTTGGCCTTCTGCTCGAAGGCCTCTCTGACTTCGTGTGTACGAAAATCATCCCAATGCTACTTTTGTTACAAAAAATACAAATAACAGTATTAATATTTCT